CGCAGCAGCACCAACAGAATAACACACGTACAAAATGTCTTGCTTGAACCAAACTATACAGAACATCATTAATAATGAATAGAAAATAATAAACTGAGGCAGGTWGAATAGGAAACTTAACTGGGCAGCGGGAAGGGGAAAGAATATATTACTCAAACTGAGCCCAATAAACTAAATATATATATATATTCAACTCTGAGGCTTCAATACAATGACAATTGTATTGACACATTGGTCCAAAACTCAAACACTTTAAACCTAATGTTGTTGAAAACAAGCAAATAATCCCATTGATGAAATAAGAGAATATGTGAAAGATGAATGAATCATCTAAACAATTCAAATGAATTTCCTGACAAGGACCCATTGATCCATGAACTTTATTATTTAAGCCCTAGAATAAAATTGTGCTTCACTCTGCTGTGTGTTAACAAAACTATACACAAGAGAAACATCCTAATGTGCATACTGCATTAGTTCATATATATATGTATAGTATATATAGTATATATTATTGTTTTTAACTTGGAGTTGATTTTCTGTCTGATGAGGAAGTGAAGATAAATTCATTCAGGCAGATCTCAGCCTACTACACCTCTTTGCACCAGGGGTCCTTAGAGTCACCGTTAATGCCAGTTAGCTTGTCGGTGGTTAGCAGCTACGTACGCAGTCAGTTGTGGTAGAATGAGCCCGACAGGAGTCAGGTCAGTTCACATTTCATCACCGACACAGACTCTGAACATTGATCTGAGTCGTTTACGAAGCTAAACGGCTGCAGTTTTATAACAATGCTCCAAAAACACCGGGGAAATCTTTTGTTGTGTTTCAGGCTAATCGGCTAGTTAGCCTCCGGTACGTGTTGTTCTTTCGTCCACGCATGAAACACGTCGAGACGAATGTGGCGGGTTGTGTTCGTCTGTTTGTCCCGGAGACGAAGCGAAGGGTTTTAAATCTTTGGATGTTTCAGTCTCTAACAAAGAGCTGGACAATGAGCGCAGAGGCCATGTTTGACAAGCTCTTACTTTTAGAACTAGCTCACACTGCTAACCACTATTGCCGCCCACTGGGACTGTAAATCAGACTAAATTACCGGTAATATCACTTAATTAAATGTTTTATTTTCTTATACTAGTCACCGAATTAACGCCAGACTCCGTTTGCCTCTAAAATCAATGTCTCTGCTGTGTACTGATGCACTTCAGTTCAATTTTAAACCTGGTAAACAGTAAATCGATGAATTTTTGAATGGGGTTCGGTTACGAACACATGTTAGCATTGGATACACCGGACTTAGCATTTTGATTAGCATCAATATCTGTTGGTAAAGAACCAAACTGCGTATTTCACTGTTTGAGTAAGTTAGCTGTTAGCTCCAGCTAGCTGTAACACAACGTCAGTGGTTACTAGCTGCCTGCCAGTGGACATCAAGCTAGTTAGCTGTAGTCAGTGTTAGCATCATGGTGAACAGAATGAGGCAGTGGTGTGTTGGCAGGAAGAAGCTGCAGCTGTTCCTGACACTTAACTTTTGTCCTTCAGTCCTTCTCCTTCACTTCCTGCTCGAATTTAAAATCTCTAACGTTGACGTTGGTGCAGATTTGAGCTCAGGCTGATGTTTGTTCTTCTCTTCAGTCAAACTTAAATTCAAAAGCCACTTAAATGGGTTTTTCTTTATTCTACCACACGTCACAGATTCACGCAACAGCCGTGGAGACGTTAGCCGAGATGCTAATGTGCAGCACCAGGCCCTTAGGAGGGAGTTATGGAAATAGTTGGTTAAATGTTGACATAAGTGTTTGAGACAATGAGTCTGTTTATAAGACAGCAACTTGTTTGACATCTGTCATTGTCCTCAAGTGAAACATGTCCTGAGTCTTTTTTAAAAGCCAATACACAGTTTGTATTAATGTCTATCGGGATGAATCACTGATAAAGGAACGGGGATAGTTTCAGGAGGGCAGATGAATCGAAATACATTTTGTCGCAGTTTCAAACATTACAAGTAGACATTTTCACAAATAATGTGCTTAATTATATCGTACAAGTAGAAATACTCACAAGTACAAAGCTGAAAACCAGAGAACGTTTTAGTATTTTTGCTTTATGGTAACTTGTATCAGTAATCACAGTTTTTAAATTATCACCTAATTGACAAATAAATTCATCTTAGAACTAAACTGTTTGATCAGGTTTTAATCTGTAGAATGTAAAGATGATTATGGATAAGCTCAATAGAAAATTTAGCTTTTTCCACTTTTTGTATCTGAAGTTTGCATTTTTTGTCATAGTATTTATATACATACATTATTTCACTTAAGCAGTAATACACAGTCAAGACGTGTGAACTATAGCTGATGCAGTTAATGTTGCTGCTCTTCTTGCACATATACCACTGTGAATCTTTCTTGTACTTTTATTTAGCAAACAATTAATAGTTATCAAAATACTTATTTCAGCTCTGGTTTGAAGAGACTTTTAAAATGTTGAGTCGTCAGTCGTTTGACTTTTCTGTCCTCTGCTGTCTCCAGGGATGACTTGACGACAGCAGCCTCTGAATTTTTCGACCGGTCTCTGCATCATTGCAGCTCAGTCGGATAGAACGACTCCTCAACATCCTACCATCTGCGTAGGGCTGCTGCCCCCCCTCCCCCCAGCCTGAGCCTGTCACATCCTCAACCTTCGAACAACCTGTGAGTGAACGGTGCTCGGGCCACAGAAGATCCTCTGCCAACGTCGTTCAACAGAGAGAGAGACAATGTATTGTCTACAGTGGCTGCTCCCCGTGTTGCTCATCCCCAAACCCCTCAACCCAGCGCTGTGGTTCAACCACTCCATGTTCATGGGCTTCTACCTACTCAGCTTCCTGCTGGAGAGGAAGCCGTGCACCATCTGTGCCTTGGTTTTCCTCGCTGCCCTTTTCCTCATCTGCTATAGCTGCTGGGGAAACTGCTTCCTGTACCACTGCCAGGACGCCGCGCTGCCGGACGCTGCCCACGACCCAGCCATAGTCGGAACCTAGGAGGGAAAAACGGGGAGAGATATCAGGGGGGAGGGTGAAGGGTGATGAGGCTTTGCTGGGGAATTACTGTAGAACGATACTGCCATGCTATAAGAGGGGACGGACCACACTTTTGGGGGTCGGAGAGTGGTGAGGAGGTGGCGCTGAAAAACTGCTGGAGCGTTGTTCCGCTGAAAATACAGAGTACTTACACAGAGTCTGTACTGAGGAGGAGGAGAGCCAGTAATGGAGGTTGTGTTTTTTTATGCTGTCAAGAAAAACTGTTTTAAATCTGAGGTGGTCGGAGGAGAGGAGGGAGAAGCTTTATCATGGTGGCAGCGTAGAAACTTGAAATGTTCGGAGAAGGACATGTGTTGACTTGAGGAGAAAATAATTTTATTTTCAGAATCTTTCATTCCAGCATTTGAATGAAAACTAGACAATATTAATAAATATATATATATAAATACACCACGGGTGACACGGGTGTCATTGTGGCCGCTGTGTTTCAGGTTTCATTATTCTGGTTCCTCTACTTCAACAAGAGATTCACCTTCTCGTTGTTTGAGAATGATTCGACGGCCTCACTCCAACTGACCCTTATGAAATCTCAGAGCTCGGATGATCGAGTTTTCACGCTCAGTTGTCTACGACCTTTCTGTTCATGGTGGAGTCGGCCTCCCTTTCAGAGTCCAACATTTCCCAACTCTCTCTGCACAGGTAATGCTACCCTTCACAAGGAGAGCACACTAAACACTGGACAATCAATAACTATGCTGTGAACAATTTCTCCTTTGCCGCATTGCCACGTACACAAACTCAGACGGCGTTACAATGCTGAGAAACTGTCCCATCGTTATTACCCACAGTGCTCTGCAGCTGCTCCTCTCCGCTCATCTTCCTCCTCCCGCCTTCGAGTGAACGTCCCCGATCTGCCAGACTTACGATTTGATCTTTTTTTTGTGTTTATTTTTTGATTACGCATGGGTTGACTTTACTTCTTTTTTCATGTATTAAGTTCACACAGATTTTAGTGAGTTTACACAAAATGCTGAACGTTTCCCAAAGGGTATAAAAATCTGTGTGTGTGTGTGTAGGGTGAATGAAGGTTTGTGTGTTGTGCGATTGGTCTGTTGGAGTTTTTTTTGTCTGTCTGTTTGTTTGTCTGTCTGTCTGTCTGTTTGTCTGTCTGTCTGTCTGTGTGTGTGTTTGTGATCAAGTCATGCTGATGTGCACAAAAAAACGTGGTGACACATGGAAACAAGCAGCAGGTGGCAGTATTTCCAGCAACAATTAGCAATACAGTGCTGGCAGAGGAAACTTAAGTTGTTATCAACAAGAAGTTTACTGGTGATCAGTGTGTGTATCACTCAGTGTTATGTTTAACTGTTGGACACAGGCTACGGTGTTTATACTGTGGACCTAATGGTGTGTGAGAGAGAGAGTGTGTGTGTAGCCTTGTGTAGCAGTGCACATCATGCCCACTGCTACCTGATTGCTTTGGTTTTAATTTAAATAAAGTTTTTTCCTCAACATGTTTAAACTGTGATAAATTGAGTTTGTAATCGGGATTCATTAAGGTTTCTTTAAATTATTCTTTAGATGAGTTTAGTCTTAAATTGTGTTGCTAAATCCTATTTGTTTGTAAAATGATATATAACTAATTATTGCAGTTGCCAAGAATCAGAGAGACGTTTAAAACTGGTTTGTTTTGATCAGAAAGTCATTTGAAGTCTTAAAGTCTCACCCTAAGTCTGTTAATCAACAAATTTCATATGTAATTTTTTACAGTATTAGGTATTTAAAATCTTTTTTAAATCAATGCTTCATAATTTATAAGATTTAATATGTTTAAACAAAATCTTAAGTGTAGACTAAACTAGAAACAACTTTCAAATGAATGTAGCTGAATAGAAATGTCCTGAAATGTGGTTGGTTGTAGGAAATTGATTGAAATTTCTTTACTGTGGAATCAATTCAAAACAAACTAAAAAAATCCCCACAGAAAAATCCTTAAATTAAATATCTTTCAAAACAGATAAGTTAAAAGTTTGATTTAGGCAGTAACATGTGTTCTAAAAATGTGTGATTGTCGGCAGATGATAAACAATCAGAAGTGAGATGTGAAGTGTTCAGGGCTGTGCTGCAGAAAGCTCCACCACAGTAAATCTTTAGTGTCTCATCATCAACAGGAGTAAATTTATGCAAAAACATGAGTTGATTAATTTAGAAATCGTGTGTAATTGTTTCTATATATAACTCAAGAGAAGAGGGAAGAAGTGCACTAATAGATTGTCTCAGTCATACAGCCCGATGATGAACTGGTTTTAAATCACATTCTATGGTATTAGAAAGTATAAATGAGACATTCAATATAAATAAGGTTTAAATTAGACAGTGTGGTGTCATGACAGCAGGTCAAACTGATAGAAGACCAAACAAACGATATGAAACAGTGAACTGGAGCTGGATGTGTTTCAGATGATGATGCAACAACACAAAGTACAAACAAACCTGCTCCATCGTCATCACTCAGCTCCTGATAATTCATATTTTCATCCTGCAGCAGCAGCTCAGGGAGTCTCGTGTGTCTCCACGACGACAGGATGATTTATCAAAGCCTCACCTCTTTGAGCCAAAAATAAAGTTTGTGCATCATCATGGTCAAAATCAGAAGTTTTTAAAATCGAAACCGAAAAAAAGCTTCAAGTAGATATTCATACGTGATTAGTGATTTAAGCAGAGTGAAGTTTTTTTGTAGTCACGTTTAACTCAAACGTGACGCAGACTCCACAACTTCCTCCTCCGAGCAGATTAAACTCTGACTGACGTCGTCTTCCCATGACACTTCAGTGACCTGACAAACAAATACATATCTCAGGTCCTGGGTCAGTTTGACCTCAGTCTAATCTGTGGTGAGACAAAGCATCCAGAGGTTAGGGCCTCTCCCAAACATCTGGTTCCCCGAGCAGCCAGCAGAGGGCAGCACCTGCCTCTGCGTCTCGACGGAGCTTTAACAACAACATGAGAAACTAAAGATCATTTTCTTTTTTCAGTTCATGAGGTTTAAATATTGTAACGTGACATTATTGTCATCCTGCTTTTCAGCTCTGAGACGTAGTTGGTAGCAAACTGGTTTATTTAGACTGTTTAACATTTTCTTTAACAAATGATGCTTGAAGAAGGTGATTGAGACAAAACCATCCTTTTGTCCCCAGTGTCCTCTTCTGTAAATGTCACCTGTGTTTGTATCTGAACTGAAACTCGTTCCCCGGCTCTGCACCTCCAGCAGCTGCAGCCAGATAACGACAGATTCACAAAAGAGGAGGAAAAAAAAACCTCTTAGACGTTATTTTGGCTGCGAGCCACAGTTGTTGGTGCAATAATCCTCTGGCATTGAAAACGTTTCAGCTGCCATTTTGTTTCCTTCACTAAGCTCCTGAAAAGACAGTGAACACAAACTGCCACAGGTATGAGCGCCGCTGCGGCTGAGGATTTATTCTGTCCCTCAGGATTTAATCTTCACAGGATGGTTTGGATTTGTTTGCGCGTTATGTCTCTCAACACATTTGTGACATCGTGTGAAAATAAAACGATTCTTCATTTTCAACCATGTAAATCTGCTGTTGCAAAGTTAGAATCGAGAACTAGGGCGATTTAAAGGGGGAAAAAATGGGAGCTCTCCATAATAAAGTCATAATATAATGCAGGATAAAGTTGTCATATGAGTACAAAGTCATAATATAACAATAAACATGTTATATAACAAAATAGATTTTAATGTTAGGAGAAAATAAGTCATATTACGCGAATAAAGCTGTAACACCACAAGAATGAAGCTGGAATGAGAATTAGGTCCTAATAGAATCAGAAAAAGTTTTTAACTTTTAACTCTTAAAAGAGTTTTAACTCTTAAAAGTTGTAATATTACAAATTCTTTACTCTCGAGATTGTTTTTGCCAATGTGGCGCGAACACTCCATTAAAAAAATAAATAAAAAAGAACTCTGGGGAAACAGGAATCATTTTCTTATCTGGTTAAAAAACATAAGTAGATTGAAACAGAACAGATTTTATTTTATTTTTCAACATAACTTTTCATATTTGACTCAAATCAAGTCCCAGTAAAAGTCACTTCAACGTCCATGCGTCCATCATCGGCTCGTCCTCTGCTCACATCACCTTTATTATGAAGGTTCAAGTGCAGGTTTTTCAAAATAAGACGCCTTGTCCTTCAGTGCAGGCTCATAAACTTCACCCAGCTCAAACCTCTCAGGATCTCAGGAGCATCGAGATTCTTCACGTTCGGCTCTTTTGTTTTTAAATAAAAATGTTTCCTATAGAATCGTGATCTCAGTCTCTTGGTTCTGGAAAGCCTCCTCCTGCATCTCCGTGTACAGCTGCTCCATCCTCTGGAAGGCCTCGAAGCCCTTCTTACCTGCAGAGAACACATTTAAATAAATTAAAAGTAAAAACATGATAGAGAACAAATGATTGAGCTGCAGCAAGAAGAGTGATTGTGATGTTTTCACCAAATGAGAGGACGGTCTCTCTGGCAGCGCTGCGAAGATCTTCATCTGCTGATCTCCACAAATCTGCTATGTGGTCCACGCTCTCTGTCGCCTGGCGCACACACACACACACACACACACAGCAGACGGTGATGAAAACACTTCATGTCTGTGTGTCTGCAGAGAGTTGGTTAAATGTGCGTCTCTCACCCTGAGGCATTTAAGAGCCAGACAGGAGCCATGTTGGATTTGAACCTCAGTGCTTTTTAAACTCTCCGTGTAGTAAACCAGCGCCTGAAGAGGAAGAGTAACAGAGACGTGACAGACAAGTTGGTTTGTTTCAGACGTGACAAGTTGCTCTGAACATGTGTTGTTACCTCAGCCCCCCCCCCATGTTTTCATGTGGTTTCGTTTTTGTTGGTTTGATTAAACAGGATTTATCAAACAGAGACGGATCAGGAGGCAGATCCAGGAATGTTTCCTGCTTTCTTTAACACTGCGAGATGGGACGTCTCTAACACTTTCATTATTCTCGATATATGTGAGTGTAATTTGGTGCGTAACCCCCCCTTATGGTTTCATAAGAGACAGATGGTGGAGATCTGATGAGGCTACATCCATACTTCAATAACTAACCTGCATTCATTTCAATTGTTGAGTTGCACAACCGTGTTTTTCTCATCTGTAAATTTCCTTTGAGCAGATTTAAAATTTGAATCTTGATCTTGGAAATAAGAGTTTGGAGGATTTCTACCAACATGTATTTTGCTTTTTCGAGCAACAACAAGACAACAACAACAACAACGTGTACAACAAACATCACTGGGACAGTTTCCTGCACCTTGCTCCTGAAGGCCTTGCAGCCTGCAGCTCTGCAGAGGCAGTTGGCAGCAGCTTTGCAGACTTTGTGGTTGGGGTCGACCTGCAGGGCGGCGAGGGTCTGCAGCGTGCACCCCAGTGGGTGGAGCTCTGTGATGCTCCGCCCCCTCAGTTTGTTTAAAGCTCGCTGCCGTTTGGGGCTCCTCAGGGCCGACAGGAAGTACTCTGAAACACAACACACCGTCCGTTCTCGGTCTCAGTCACATCACAGGAAATAAACATGAAACAGTTCTTGCTCTTCATGCTCCTGCACATTTTTACTCACACTTGGTGTAAAACCAGGACCTGATTCTCACTGTGCAGCCCAGTAACAGCTGTGTGTTGTTTTTTGTCCAATCGCATTTGGCGTAATGGCAGCTTTTGAATCTCAGAAAAGTTAATCACATTTTATATTATTTTCCTGGCACGGTCTCGGCAGTGAACTCCGCCCGCCTGGTGTTCAAAGGGCTATTAAAACAAACGCCAAGATTTATCTCAGACGTGAAGATCGACTCATGAGCAGAAACCTGTTGTCTTAGCAGTTTTATATGAGCGTTGCTGCGCCAGGTAGATGTAGTTTATCAGTTTAATAAACAGCAGATGTAGTGAGGCTGCATGAGGAAGGAAGGAAGGAAGGAAGAATTAAAGGAAGGAAGGAAGGAAGGAAGAATTAAAGGAAGGAAGGAAGAATTAAAGTAAGGAAGGAAGGAAGTGTTTTTTGTGTCTTTATATCTGATCATATTTTAGTAATAAGATGAATCATGTGGCTTTGAAACTTAAAGAGCCTGTAAGGACACACACACACACACACACACACACACGGTTTGTTTGGCGTGACCGTTTGGCACTAACATTGACAGATGGTCCAGATTCCTTTTTTAATATGCTGGAATTTCTGGAACGTTCTCAGATTCTAAAGCTCTGTAGGGGAACCACAGCGACATTCCTCAAACACACAACTGATACCAGCAGACACACACACACACACACACACACACACATAAATACACAAACATTTCCACATTCTTAGAAACACAAACTGTGGATACCTGTCATATGTGATCCTAGAAATAACTTTGACTGATTTAGTTTCCAAACAACGTGTCTCTGGCTCCATGGTCATGGACAGGCGCTCATGCAATAGAATATATTAGAACAGTTTTTATCTCTTCCGTAACTCCCTGCATGATTGGATTCCAGCTGACCAACGCTTTCATTTTCCTTTATTAGAATAAACGACATTTTAAAACAATGTCTTCGTAGTACTTCAAAGTAATTGTACCTTCTTTGGAGAGGCGGGAGATGTGCTCTCCCAGCTCCTGGACGCTCCAGCGCTGCAGATGCACCGACAGCTGGAAGACGGTGACTCTGTCCGGGCTGCAGATCGACCGAGGGCTGGGCACCGTGCGACAGGCCGCCTGCACCTGCTGCAGGAGCTGAGAGAACACTGCACAGGAGGGAGACAGGTTTTCAGCTGCGTCCCGTCCCCGAGCCAACGTCCACCAAAAGAAAAGTGCTTATCTACCTTTCTCTGATTGGCCGGGCTGCTTGGCCTTCACCTTGTGCGTGTAGCGTTTCTTCAGCGCCCTGATGAAGCTGTTGGAGTCGCAGCAGAAGACAGAGCTGCTGTCCTTCACACAATCCTCCCAGAACAACAACACATCCCTCGTTCTCTGGGCCTTAGGGAGGACTGAGGAAGGATGAGGAGAGCAGGAGGAGGAGAAGGAGGAGGAGGTAAATGTTACCTTCATTGACATCACTGATGCTTGGAAAGAAAGACAGATGAAGCAGATTCCTCACTGACCGTCCCGAGCAGAGATGTTGTCGTTCCTCTCCAGCAGCAGACAGCTGACTCTGTCCAGGACGTCGGCCTGAAGAGACGTCTCCTCCAGCAGGTCCGTCCTCGACAGGCCGAAGTCGGTCGTTTTTATCAACTAAGGAGTTGGAGCGAGAAGAACGAGAAGATGAGTCTCAAAAGGCCAGAAACTGAGATTTCCTGGAGTTAAAAACACGTCTAATGTTTTTTCTGTTATAATTAAGATATGAAACCTCTGACCATCTTGTACCTGTAGCAGGATGAGGCAAATATCCAGGTGAGTCTCCAGAGCTTGGTCAAGACCCCAATTCCCAGAAGTCAGTGGGGCAATAACCAACTCTTCCTCGGAAGCTGACTGGCTGTGATGGGAGAGGAGGCCGAGGCTCTGCTGGAAGGAGCTGATGCTGACCAACAGAAATTACAATTAGTTGTTGGAGTGAATTTGGGATTCATCCCTTCGCTCGGTCTGAAAACTCACCCACTGTCTTTGAGTCTCAGGCTGCCCAGACAGGAAGTGTCATCATCTGCATTGAAGTCACGTGACAGGAAGTCAAAGCTGCCCAGGACTTCCTCGACGGCCAGCGTCTCCTCTGAGGATGAGCTTCTCAACAGGGAGAGGTCGTTCTGATGGAGGACGCGAGGACACGTTGATAAAAAAATAACAAGCAGGTTTCTGCGTGAACGTGCACAGGTACCTTCAGTATGGTCGCCAGGTGCAGGATCTGGTGGTCCAGCGCTCTCAGCCCTTTCTCCGACAGACTCTGGTTCTGTAACGTTTTCTCCAGCTCTGCGATCAGGACCCCCAGCCTGAGGGCCTGAGCCCTGCGCAGGGCACCGCTCCCACCTGACCTCCCCGACGTCGGAGCGGTCGTCATGGCGGGGGTCGGGGCTGCAGCAGGCGGCTGGACAGGGAGAGTGGGTGAGGCTGGGGAAGAGTATGACTGAGAGTCTGGGGAGTCCTGGAAGAAAAATGAAGAAACACGAGGAGAAGAGTCAGATGAGAGAAGATAACAAAAAGAAGACGAGATTCACGGAGAGGTGAAGAAGAAAAGAGAGAAACTGGAAAAAAGCAAAATAAGACAACTATAATATGAACATATTATAAAACAAAACAAACGTATTGGATTTCCTTCTGGTCTAAAACATGTCGGCGACCATTAGAAAAAACAAATCGGTGCGGGGACAGGTTCGGAGGACGAACCCGGGAGCAAATCTAGAATCCCCAGTAATCAGTGACATGCAGGGGCGTGACAAGACAGTAGAGGCAACTGACTGGGGCCCCAAGCAGAGAGGGGCCCCTTGATTGCCTCAATGAGAACCCTCTTAAATTCTATGATTGACGATGAGACTGCAGCACGATCAGAAACCTCCTAACGATACTAACACACTGCACAAAGCTTCATAATGTTAGAGGTTCGGTAGAAGAGAGCGAGTGGACGCGTTGATGAGGTTTCTAACACGTGACGGACGTGAAACGGGCAGAAGCGTTAACTCAGTGTTTATGTGACCGGATGAATTCAAGACTCCACCTTCTTCTCACTGACGGTGTTTTGCCTCAGAGCTGCACTGTGAGTCTCGGCATCTGCTTCTCCAGCTGGGTTCTGTCTGAGGATGTCAGGAGTGCTGCACCTGAGTAACAACACACATTTTACTTAAGTTTAGATTTGACCTCAGGCAACAAACTCAACTTTAATAGGTTAAATAAAAACACCAACATTTCACAAATTCAGATTTAGTTTGTCCTCACCTCTGCAGAGATCCCGTCTTACTCTTCGCTGATGTCGACGAAGTCTCTAACTCTCCTCCCCATCCCTCCTCATCTTCCTCTTCCTCCCTCTCATCCATCCTCTTGCTCCCCTCCCTCTCCTCTGAGGAGCCCTCCAGGGATCCCTCCTCCTCCCCGAGGGAGAGCTGGGTCTGGCTTCCCCCCAGACTGGGGCCCTGACTGGGGCTGGAGGGGTAACTGTGAGCCCGAGTCAGACTGCGGAGGAATCGATTTCCATGTGGAGGATATAAAATATAAATATGAACATAAATCTTTTACTGCACAGTGAGGTTGTTGGAGTTCCAGTTTGCAGATCAGTCACATGCTTGCATGTTAAAACCTTCACACATGAAACTGAGGCTGATTTCTCTTATTTCCCAAGACGATCTTTAAAAGCAACAGTTTGCGTTTTTGCAGAAGTTCAGCTTCTTCCAGGGGAACAAAGATAAATCTTAAATGTATTCATTGTGTTAACACTTCTCTGTAATCTCTCCTGGGAAATACTCAATACTTTTACCTGCTCAAGGCCCACAAACCCTTTAAGATTCCAAAAATCAAGATAAAACATGAATTAAACATTAAGAATGAAAAATAATTACAAATATTTGTATCATGATTATTGTTTTAAAGACCGAAACCACCATCATTTCACCAAGACGTTTTGTGGCCACTGAAAAACGAACCTGCCTCATTGTGACTGAGCTCCTTTGTTTCATCCAACAATCAAACAGAATGATCAAAGCTGTATAATGTCCACATGTATGTTGTTTACCAGCTGATTCACTGCGTACCTCGGGGTATAGGGGCTCCTTGGGCTGTGGACGGGGTTGGACAAGTAGCTGAGCAGAGACACGTCTCCTCTGTTGTGACGACTCTTGGACACGAGGGACGGGAGGGACCCCTCTCGATGCTGCAGCTCACGCACCATCGACTGCAGAGATATTCATGTAAATATCAAATGATTAAAGTCAGTTTGGACTCTAACTGTAACAGCAGAGAAAAGATCAGGTGATGAAATGTGGCTGCAGGTTGTTTTTTAAGAAACTTAAAAAGCAGAGTATTAAGTTAAGTTTGGTTCACATCCTGCTTTTAGTCACGTGAGAGAGACAATTTAAACAACAGAGATCATGGTAAATGTTATTTATATATATTTAAAAGACTTGTGTGTGTGTGTGTCTGCGTGTGTGTACTCACGATGAAGTACTTCTCGGTGAAGGACGGGGTACTCGGGGCCGTCCAGCTGTACACTGAACTCTTCCTGCTGGACACTGACTGTCTGCTGACGGACAGAGGCCTCATCTTCTCCACACTGTCGAACGGACTGAAGGTGAAAACACAACATGACACACGGTACACGTATGCATCCGTACCACATATATGTAAATGCGCAGTTCACCCAAATATACAAAATATCGGAGCTCTGCTACGTGTTCCTGTAAATGTCACCAACTTGAGAATAAACCTGGAAGTATTTCTGTTTTGTCTCATGAGACTTGATTCCTTCACGGACGGGAACATTTTTATGGTCTTGATTTTTTTTTTAACCGCTCCTCACCTTGCAGGCAACCTGACATTCATGCATTCAAATTTCCATCTCTGTGAGGAGAAGGAAACCTGGTCCTCCTCCACCACCTCCTCTAAAGCCTGAAATGTGACCTGACTGTGTGTGTGTGTGTGTGTGTGTGTGTGTGTGTGTGTGTTCGAGCTGCTCAGGTTAGTAAAAGGCAGAAGATGATGAAAACAACAGATTTTCTGGAGATTGTGTCTGAATGTGAATCTGAAATAATCCAAAACATACAGTTGAAGCTGTTTTGCTTCAGTGCAAAATGTGGTGAAGTGAG